TTTTTTTTTCTTGAGACAGAGTCTGGCTCTGTCACCCAGGCTGGAGTGCAGTGGTGTAAGCACAGATCACTGCAGCCTTGACCTCTCAGATTCATCTGATCCTCTCACCTTAGCTTCCTGAGTAGCTGTGACCACAGGCGCGTGACACCATGCACAGCTAATTTATTATTATTATTATTATTATTATTATTAGAGAGAGATGAGGACTTGCTATGTTGCCCAGGCTGATCTCAAACCCCTGGGCTCAAGTGATCATCCTGCCTCAGCCTCTCAAAGTGCTTGGATTACAGGCATGAGCCAACACGCCTGGCCCCATTCCTTTCTCCATTTTTATAGCCTCAAAGGGGCCTAATCTAGTGAACATATTAGGCATCTTTCTAATCAATTTTTCATATATTTATTGAGACAAATTCCTGTTCTTGAAAATTAGTGTTATTTTGTGCATATGTGTTGAATTTTCATGAGATGTGTTGGGAGATAAATCTAATGCTTTTTCCTTTTTTCACTCAACATTATGTTTCTGGGACATATACATACTGCTGCTGTATGTAAATCCAACTCATTCCTTCAGACTGTTGCCTAAACCCTTTACTTGTCCAGTCTTTGAGTGGCAGGAAGTTCTTTTGGAGTGTCTGCAAACACCAACAAGGATGCAATGAATATTCTTGCCTGTCTGTACAAGAATGTTTCTGGATATATATGCATAGAATTGCTTCATTATAGAGCAAATTCACATATTATTTTACTAAATACTTCCAGATTGTTCTCTAAAATAGCCAGCTGACACTCCAGCAAGAAACGCATGAGGGTTCTCATTTCTCCACCAATACTTAGTATTATCTGATTTTTCTAATTTTTATCAATCCGGTATCTATAAAGTGGTATTTAATTGTGGTTTTATTTTCATTTTTCTGATTTCTTATGAGGCTGAGCTTCTTTTCATACATTATTAGCTATTTGACTTTTCCCTTCTGTGAATTGCCAGTTCATATACTTCACTCATTTCCATTGCTTTTCCTGCCTTCTCTCTGATTTGCAGATAGCTTCTTATATTCTAGATTTTAGTCACTTACCAGTTTTCAACAGTATCTTACCCTAGGCTGTCAATTCTCTGATAACTTTATGACACATTTATAGCTACTCTTGCACATATATAGCTACTTTGAAGTTGGTAAATTTATCCATGATTTGTGTACTTTCCATAGTATTTATGAAATCCTTCTATCCTAGGGTCATGAAAATACTTAGCTACATTTTCTCCTATTGGTTTTTAGTTTTATCTTTCACATTTAGGTTTTTAAATTCAAATCTAACAAAAGGGTTTTTTTTAGGGAGAGAATAAATTTTACTATCTTTTCCACATGGTGAGTCAATTTTTCCCAATATCATCACATTTGGCATCTCATCCCTGTCATGTACCAAGTTTCATATCATCACGGGTCTGTGTCTGGGTAGGCCACTTTACCAGAAAACACTGTTCATGTTACTAGACTTTGTAATGTCTAGTTGGTCAGTAAAGTCATTTCCTTTTTGCTCTATTTTATTTTATTTTATTTATTTAGAGACAGAATCTCCCTCTGTTGCCTAGGCTGGTGTGCTGTGGTACAATCTTGGCTCACTACAACCTCCACCTCCCGGATTCAAGCGATTCTTCTGCCTCAGCCTCCTGAGTAGCTGGGATTACAGGTGCCTGCCACCATGCCTGTCTAATTTTTTGTATTTTTAGTAAAGACGGGATTTCACCATGTTGGCTAGGCTGGTCTCCAACTCCTGACCTCAAGTGATCCGTCCACCTCAGCCTTTCAACATGCTGGGAATACAGTGGTGAGTCACCACGCCTGGCGTTCTTTTTTTCAAAATGGTCTTAGATATTCATGAAACTTTATTCTTCCATATAGCTTTTAGCATCAGTTTGTCAGAGTCATCTTCTATATCATTTAATGGAGTTTTAAAAATTCCTCCTTAAAGTTTCTATGTGTTCTTTGTTACGTTAATTCCTAAACACTTTATACTTTTCTTCTTTCTTTTTTTTTTTTTTTTTTTTTTTTTTGAGATGGAGTTTTGCTCTTGTGCCCAGGCTACAGTGCAACGGCATAGTCTCAGTTCACTGCAACCACGGTCTCCCAGGCTCAAGAAATTCTCTCGCCTCAGCCTCCCGAGTAGCTGGGATTACAGGCAACTGCTATCCATGCCCAGCTAATTTTTCTATTTTAATAATAGAAAAATTATTTTCTATTATTAGAAAGAGAGAGAAAGAGAGAAGGGTTCCACTCTGTTGGCCAGGCTGGTCTTGAAACTCCTGACCTCAAGCGATCCATCCATCTTGGCCTCCCAAAGTGCTGGGATTACAGGCATGAGCCACCGTGCCCGACCAGTACTTTTGGTTTGCTATTTAAATGGCATCTCATTTTCTACTACTTTTTCTGCTGTTAATCTGTGTGTGTTATTCTGGCAAACCTACTAAACTAATAATTTGTCTGCTGGCCTTGTTGAATGTTTCATGTAAATAATTTTATTAGCAACACACTTAAAACATCTCCTCCTTTCAATTTTGAATTAAATTTCTTATTTCCATTTTTGGTTCTTATCTTATTGCAAGTTTTAAAGAGAATGTGTGTATATTGTTTGATTAAGATCATGTATGCTGCATGTTTTTGGTAGAAAGTCTTTAAAAAGCTAAAAAATTGAGAGTTCAGCGCGGCGCTAGCCCTTCCGCCACGGTCGCCATTGGAGAGTAGCAGCCATGGCTCTTCGGTATCCTATGGCCGTGGGCCTCAACAAGGGCCACAAGGTAACCAAGAACG